ACCATTCATTTATTTTATCAAGATGATTTTGGAGTTTAAAAGTTGCATCGGTTGGATCTTGCGCAACTGCCAAAACAGCAATATCATCCGCAAACATGCAGCAGGTGGTGTTTCTCAATGTGGGAAAGTCATTAGTATAAATAAGGCAAAAGAATGGCCCCAAAACACTGCCCTGGGAGACTCCTGCTATCATTACTTTCGGCTCAGTTGTAGTATCGCCAACCTTGACTTGAAATTTTCTGCGAGTAAGGTAGGACTCGAAAAACATCTTGTATGATGGCAATAAATTTCCGGTTTTGTATTAGAGAAGGCCTTCATGCTAAACTTTGTCAAATGCTTGGCTCACGTTTATGAAAGCAGCAGAGCAGTATTTGCTGCCTTCCCTTGAAAAGCTTTATTAATAGTGTCCACTATTGGATGGCACTGTTAGGTTAGTAGTCCTTGTGATGTTTGCTAGCAGAAGTCTTTCGAATATTTTAGATGTTATTGGAAGCAGGCTTATTGGTCTATATGAAATGACTTTGTTCGGATCTTTTTCTACCTTTGGGATCATTTTAACCGTAGAGGTTTTGAATAATATCAACCAATAATTGAGTCTAAGAATTGCGTTAAAGATGTAAGAGAGTAAAATAAATCCTTCTCTGGGGTGTTCTTTAAGCATTATGCTTGAAATTGAATCTATACGCACAGCTTTTTTTGTTTTTAAGGCGTTTAATTTCATTATAAACACATTTCACGGTGAAGAATCTAGTTCTGTTATAGTTCACAGTATAATATTTTTATTAATTAATCGTACGTCTTATTTACTTATTTTTATCTCTTCAGTCATAATGCCTCCTAAGAAAACAGAAAACTCCAAAAAAGTGGTGAATTATGAACAGTTGATTATTGCTTTGAAGGAAGTGAAAATAAATAAAATATCGAAGATTGTTGCTTCAGCTGTTACCAACGTTAGCAGATTGTCTTCTCAACGCCTCAATACATCCCCTAAAAACAGAAAAGTCGCGGCAGAAGCAGCACCGGATCAAAAATTGCAAGTACCAGCGAAAGTTTCCAAGAAGACCAATACTTCATAATAAGCTGTGAAAAAGGCAAAAAATGAAATTCCACGATTTCTTCAAGTGAAGACAACGATTTTGTCATGATTTTCAATAGATTGATATTGGCATAGCTGTCAAAACTAGTTGGTTTGGTATTTAGCCTTGAGGCAAGTTACATGAACTTCCCGATAAGTGTAATTAATCGACTTAATCAATAAAAACTAAATTAATTTATGAGTGATTAAAGTATTCCGAGTGGATTTATTACACATAATTGAAAACGAACGAAAACGTTAACTCGGAGTATTTTCTAAAAGCAAATTTTCAAAAATCAATAATTTTTTAATCGGACCAGTTTCCGTAGGACTGTAATGGTTTAGTATGTTCATTAAAACCAAGTACTCTATCGTTATACCAAGTAAAATCGTCAAATTTTAATTTTAACAAACGTCAAAAAAACTACTTATTTTCTTAAACTTTGATGATTTTTTTAAATTAAACTACTTGTCGTAAGGTCGTAATATTCCAATAAGTTGTATAAGATCATGATATACGAGTATATCGTGATCGTATATCACCAAAAAACGTTTCATAAAAATCGGGTCAAATGTTTTTTTCGACAACGAATTACAAGAAAACGGCTCGGTAGATTTTCACCTAAAACTAATCAGTATCATTCCCAACTTATATCTTTCGAACAGTTTTTGATTTTTTAAAATCGATTCGGTAGTATGAGCTTAAATGTGGACGAAAAGTTTAACACTTTTTTTCAAATTACAAAGAAACGGCTTGGCAGATCGTCGCACAAAACTGACAAACGATAGTCCTGATCATGATACATCAAATGGCTTTTAAATTTCTGAAATCGGTTCAGGCATTTTTGAGAAAACGTCGATGAAAGGTCTAATTTTGACAAATGACAAAAAAACAATACCAAGTTTTGCAAACTTTGACGAATTTTTAAAGTTAAACCAATTGTCGTAGAGCCGTAATATTTTAGTATGATCTAGAAGACTATGGTATCTACCGTCAAAAAAATAATAATAAAAATCGTCGAAAAAATTTTTTTTAACACTTTATTACAAGAAAACGGCCCGGCCGATCACTACCAACAACTCATCAGCACGATTCCTAATCAATATCTTTCGAACGGTTTTTGAATTTTCTAGATCGATTCAGAACTGCAGGCTAAAACGTGGACGAAAAATTTTTCACTTTTCTGCTATTTACAAAGAAACGGCTTGGCTGATCGTCGCGCAAAATTGATAAACGCTAGTCCTCATCGAGATACATCGAATGGCTTTTAAATTTTTGAAATCGGTCCAGCCATTATTGAGAAAACGTCGATTTGCGGCAAAATATCTGTTCACACACACACACACATACTTTTTCCAAATCTGGTCTCATTCGATTCAGAATGACTTGAAACGTCGAGAAAACATAAAATTAGCGAATCGGATTTTTTGATGAAAACATAAACTTCTCCTTCGGGAAGTTAAAAAAACTCCTTCGAGTGCGATATGACCAACTGCAACGACTTGACGTGCAACAATTACGCCTAGAATCTGTGCTTGATTGTTGCAAAATGTTTTGTTTTTTAACAATTTTATCATTCCATGTCTGAAATTCTTTTCAGAATTTAAATGAACATTTTTACTGAAGTAACTGTTTTTTCAATTTCTACCCTTCATTTGGAGTCAACGATTTTGAATTTTGTAAATTTGACAACAGATTCGTAATCAGCATATTTGAAAACTCTCAGAGTAATAATTTAAAGAATATAGCAGCATTTTTTCAGATAAAAATTTGTGTGTCCCACTTTTGCCATTCAAAAACAGAGATACTTCCAACATAATTGCAAGCATCTGCTATGATAAAAAGCATTTTGGAGTACCCTTACAACTACAAAAAAATAAGATTGTTTTTTCATTTTTTACCATTTTACAACCAAAAATAAAAACTTGGCCCACTTCAACCAAAAATAAAAACTTGGCCCACGGTTCGGCCGATCGTAGCGCAAAACTGACAAACGATAGTCCTCATCGAGATACATCGAATGACTTTTAAGTTTTTGAAATCGGTCCAGGCCTTTTTGAGAAAACGTGGATTTACGACAAAAAATCTGTTCACATACACACACACATACTTTTTCCAAATTTGGTCTCATTCGATTCAGAATGGCTTGAAACGTCGAGAAAACAGAATATTAGCGAATCGGATTTTTTAATGAAAACAGAAACTTCTCCTTCGGGAAGTTAATTATAAAAATCGTCAAAAAAAATTAACACTTTATTACAAGAAAACGGCCCGGCCGATCTCTACCGAAAATTAATCAGGTCGATTCCCAACCAATATCTTTCGAACAGTTTTTGAATTTTCAGAACTGCGGGCTAAAACGTGGACGAAATATTTTTAACTTTTCTGCTATTTACAGAGAAACGACTTGGCCGATCATCGCACAAAACTGAGAAACGAAAGTCCTCATCAAGATACATCGAATAATTATACAATTTTGAAATCAGTTTAGGCGTTTTTGAGAAAACGTTGATATAAGATAAAAAATCTGTTTACATTCACATACTTTTTCCAAATTTGGTCTCATGCGATTCAGAATGGCTTGAAACGTCGAGAAAACAAAATTAGCAAATTTTTCTATGAAAACATAAACTTCTTCGGGAAGTTTTAAAATGCTATTTGGTGGTCAAAAATTATCATTAGACATATGCACATCGAATAGAGATTTTAACTAGCCTTAAGGCAAATTGCTGAAACTTCCCGTACCGTAACAAAATGTTCTAGGAATATTAAATGTTTTAAAATATATTATTATAAATATATTTATAAATATATTGTAACATTGTCTAATATTTATATAAAAATTATAGAAACTAAATTGCAAAGTTGAAATTATTTTGTTTAAAGTATATTAGAACTTTAGTCAGAATTTTTAAAATCTTTTGAAAAAAAAAATTGAAACAAAACTCTTTTTTTTCTAAAAGCAATGATTTTGTTAAAACAAGCAGAAAGTTCTTTGAATCATTCAAATCGGACGCTTAGTTCACTCAAAAACTGTTATTTTTGCACATTTAGCTCTGTATGTTCGAAATGGCTGGACCTGCCTTTGCCAAAAACTGATCAGCACATCTCCCTATCAATAGGAATCGAATGTGTTTTAGATCATTCAAATCGGATGCTCCATTCTCTCGAAAACTGGATTTCTATTTTCTACACTATTTGCTCCGTATCTCTGTAATGGCTGGACCTGCTTTTGCCAAAAACTAATCAGCGCGATCCCTATCAATAGGAATCGAATGTTTTTTGAACCATTCAAATCGATTGATCAGTGCGCCCGTGGACGAAAAATGTTCAGAAACCTCTCAAACGTGACGATATGCATCAGAAATTTTCATTTTCGATTTTTGGCCCATTACTATAACTACCCTACGGGAAGTTAATATTAAGCCCAAACTCTTGTATACTTTTTAAGGGGTACCAAAGTTTATATTTATATAATTCAAACGAATGTCTTCAGTCAATGTCTGACAGTAAGTCAATCAACCAATTTGAATATGGGTTTCATAATTTTCAAGAAATTTTAAAATTTATAAATCAAAAATTTCTAAATTCTTCAAACAATCTAATTTTTTCAGTTTTCAAAAAAATTTAAATTTCGGCACGAGAGATCCAGGTATTTGCCTTATGGCACGATGCCTTGTACCACTAGTTATAACTGTGGCGATATCAAGCAGGCTGATTTTTTTATTTGTAAAAAAACGATGGGACATGTCATGTTTATTTTTGATATCGAAATATTTTTATAGTTAATAAATTTATATTTTTTTATTATGTTGGGAGTTTCTAATTAAATATATTATCATAATCATTACTACTCCCACATTGGTGACCCCGACGTGATGTAAATGCGGCGTGAGTTATTTGGGCGTTTGTCACTAGTCGCCATTAATGACCGCCCGTATCGTTTCCCGACTTAAAATTACATGGCGATATACACCTCCTCGCATGACTTCCGTAGCGTCTATGAAACCGACATAAGTTATCTTGTCGTCTTCTAAACGACACTTCCTTCTTATGATACATTTGAAGCTTATCCAAACGCTTTGAAACAGCTTCAATATCTTGACGCATTTGACGCAGATCAGCATTCTTTGTTTCAATCTCAGAGGTTTGTGCATCTGTAATCACAGCTACACGTTGCTGTGAATGGCTAATAAATAAGCGGTCAGCTAGTTCACCTACCTCTTGTATTGACTGCTCCAGAAGCAATCTCCAAAAATGGTTGAATTTCCACTGGAAGTCTGGATAACCATATTGCTTTAACTGCGTTATCGGTCATCGAAGTCCCGACTAAAGTCCTCAAATGACGTAGGTATTGAGAAGGCGTCCTATCACCCAAATCTACATCAGACATAAACAACTGCAACTTTGCCACACACTCCCTGCCCAGTGTTGATCTCACAGTTTAAAAAAAATACAGGGAAACACGTTACAAAAATGTGGTGGGAAAGCAGATTATAGCAGACCAGTGTTGTAATACTGGTCAATTACAAATTTCCATGTTTCGTCAGCAGATCCACCGTATGTGGTGATTTGACCTGCCATCAACTCCATATTCTGCATAATGTTCTCGATCTAATGGGTATTAGTTATATCAGAATAACTTAATGTTTAGAATGCATAATTTATGGGTACAGTTTCCATTTCTGCAAGTGTTGCATTCGTATCTGATGAGTTCCGATCAGAGAAAGAAGTTGGCTCTTTATCCAAATCAGGATCATTGGTTTCTTTGACTTCTCCGAAGTGCCTAACCTTGAAATTAACGTAGCCTTCAAAGTAGAATAAGGCTTCTCTTCAGGCTCATTGATTATCAAATCTCGCACTTCGGTTGAATGTCTAATATCCAACCTGGTAACCAATAATGCATATTTCACCTTCTCATCGTGGATATTGGAAGATGCGAATGCCTTCTCTACCAAAGCAAACCAAAGTTCCAAGTCATTTGGAATAAATTCAGGAATGTGCAGTTTGTGGCAGCTAAATGTCCGTGTTGGCGCGGCATAATATCACGTCGGGGTCACCACTATCGGAAATCAAACACTTTTCCGATTATAAAATATTTATTCATTTATGCCGTGATAAATTTCATAAATTTATCTGAACCAAAACTTTACATAGTTCAAAAACAAATGATCCAACAAAAACCCATGTCAATTATTATTTTTGTCTCGCTTACTAAAATTGACGCGACCTGCCAATCTCCCACATAACTAATTATTAAAAATAGCAGGTTAGGATGCGAATTTTTATAAAAATGAGTCTCAAAATGCTAATTCATTGTTAACCTGATATTATTATTAGTTTTGGTGTTATTATCACATTGCTGAAATTTGTTTTAAAAGATCTTGTTGATTTGTTATGTTAATTTAAATATGATTATTGATTTACTTGTTGTTATGCATAATAGGTATTTTATAAATTTATATGTTAACGTGATTAGCGAACAAATTATAAAATTAATTTAACGAAGGATATTACACAAAGTTAAGGACTCTTCATACCAAAATTTATATTCTGGTATTAAAATTAGACTATCTGATATAAATAACAACCAATTTGTTTAAATTTTAATAGCACATGACTACAATTATTAGAATTAAAGATAATTTTAATCATTTTCCAAACTGATTAATTTCCTTACTTATTAACAAATTTTTAACTGATTTGTTAACTCCAATGTTTATAATTCTATAGCTCGTAAAACACGAATAAAAGATAGTTGAAAAAATTATAAAATATAAAATAAATGCATTTACATGATGTGTACTGTATATTTTATACTATTTATACTATATATACATACATACATATATAATATATATATATTATATATATATATATTAAGACATATTTACAAATAATTAAATTCAATTTAACAGATATGTTTATATTTTATTTATTTTCATCACGCTTTGACTATGAGTGTACATGTTTCCTTAAATCTCTTGATTGAACTAATCCCTTATTGCATATTTCAAATTTTGAGAACGCTCTCCATATTGAAAGCATGAAACTGTTCAGACTACTTAATAATATGAATGTTTTGTTGCATTTACTGCATTCACAGAGGCGTAAATCAACATGTGACTTTTGAGATGACCTAATAATAGTCTGAATGTCTTATTGCATATGTTGCATTCATTGGTGCTCACCACTGTGAATGAGCATGTGTCTTTTCATAGCACATTTTTGTTTGAATGTCTTATTGCATATAATGCATTCGTGGGGGCTCTCGCCACTATGAATTAGCATGTGAATTTTCAAACTACCTATTTGTGTGAATGTCTTATTGCATATGTTGCATTCATGGGGGCGCTCACCACTGTGAATGATCATGTGTCTCATCAGATCCATTTTTTTTTGAATGTCTTATTGCATGTAATTGCATTCATTGGGGGTGGCTTACCACTGTGAATGACCATGTGTCTTTTCAGATCACATTTTGTTTGAATGTCTTATTGCATATAATGCATTGGTGGGGGTGCTTACCACTGTGAATCCATGATCACATTTTTGTTTGAATGTCTTATTGCA